TTGACAGGGTGGGTAGGATGACTTCTCACCTGGGCCATGCTCCTGGATCGGCACTGCTCCTATTCCATCTTGATCCTTCAGATGGACTCAGGCCACACCTAGAAAACACCCTGGGGCCCTCAAAAAGTCCCATCATCACCCTGGAATTAGTGGTGTTCACTCTTCTCTTTACAGATCATGTAAGTGTCCTTTTCTACCATTTATTAGGAGTCTGTTTTTTAACAACTGTTTTAAACAATAGTAATGATGTTGGTGTTGATCAAATACTAGAAGCTAACATTTAGTATATACGATTTACCAAGCTGTGTGCTAAGTGCTTTATGACATTTAAGGCTCCTGGCCTCCACGAGAGAAACATCCTATTATCTTGATGTTACAGGTAATGGCAGTGAGGTTTGGCAAGGTTAAATGTCTTGCCCATGGTCACACAGCTATTTAGTGACTGGGCTGCTATTTGAGCCCAGATGTGCCTGACTCCAAAGTCCATATTCTCACTCCTGTCTTCCCTGGGTCTTGCTCTCACATTCCTGGTTCTCCAACTCCCATTGTCTCTGCGCTTTGGCTGTCGGTCCTTGCCTAGAGCATCTGTTGCTCAGGAACCTGCGGGGACAAGTCTTCTGCCTCGACCTCGACATGCTCCTCGGAAGAATTGGTGTTAGCCCTGCGGCCCCACGCACCAGGGTAAGAGAGAGTCTCGCTTCCTGCCCTGGCCCGAGGGACCGACTGGCTGGGCCTGCCTTCTGCCCAGCTCACCGGTCATGGAAGAGAGTTTGGACACACACTCCACTCTTGCCTGATGACAACAGTGTACAGAGCCCACATTGTTCCTATCACCCTACTGGAGAGTCTGATGACTTAGAGGTTAGGATCCTGACTCACAAGTGAGCCAGAAGTCTCTGCTCTGTTCACCTGCTGTACCTCTCCCTGGCTAGTCTTGGGTACCTCCTGGTTCTCACACAGAGTGGTTGTCATACTCTGTGAGGAGTGACTAACATGTCTTCGCTGCTCCAGTCATGCTGCTAGAGTCAGAATCCTCCGTGGGAGGAGATAGTCTTATATATTTATTTAAAAACCATCTCGCTAGGCTGGGAGTGAACTTTCCTTCCTAAGGAATCATCAGGTAGTCTTTCCATGGTCTCACTAAGCTCCCTAAAATAAATGGCCATTTGGACTTTCCACAATGACAGTGTTTTCCTTGGGAGTTATCCAACAGCCATGCCGTCCATGGTTGAGTCTGGCTTACCTGTATTCTGTCAACCAGAACTCTCCATCCACCAGAACTTCTGTAGCCTTCAACACGGTGGCAGATGAGACTTGGGGTTAGGACCGTGCAGTGCCCTGCAAGACTCCCGAGTACACTGTTGTCCTTCAACATGATTACATTTTATTTGGTCTAGCATAATTGTTAGCCTGGAACCAGTTCTTTATTGTGATTCCCATATGATCCCTGGTAGATCTTCCTCAGGGTTACCTTAAAAGATACATGTTAAAAATAGCAATTGTTAAATAAGCCGATTTGCTTCAGTAATTTCTATTATAGACATTACAAATCTTTTGGACTTAGAGGTGTTGGAGAAAGAAAGAAATATGCTCGTTGAGCATTGTGGGGCTGAGTTTTTCTGGAAATGTAAAATAAGGGCTTGTAGGAGAGAATCGTTTAAATGTCTTCATGCCCTGACATCTTATGATCTTCCTAAGTAGCTAGAGGTTTATAATTTTAGAGATGTAATACGTGTAGACTTGGGGAATACTCATTTTTGTCTAATTGGTTGCTAGGATCAGGTATCTATGGAAACAACCATCCATTAGTATTCAAGATAGGAAATTTATTTCTTTTACTCAGCATGATCACACAACGAGTATAGTGTTCCTTGTATGGTGGCCTCTTGCAAAGCCTGCCATAGGAAGTGGCTTTCTTAGGCCTGTGAAAGAAGCTGAAAGTGCATCTCCTCCTGCCTTGAGCCATCTCTGCATTTTCAGAAACCAGTGGTCCTGCTCCACACAAGCTCATAATTACTCTTCCCAAATTATTGTATGAGGTTTAATGTTCACAGTCGTCCCTCAACGGTGGCTTTATGAGCTCAAAGGGAAGTTCGTTTTGAAAACCTTGTCCTGTATTCCTGTTGTTTTTCTACTCAGGTTTTACCTTAGCATTGGAATTTTTGCGTTTGTATAGTAATGCTTCTGTGTAACTACGACAATTCTTAAGATATAAGTGCTCGTTTTTTCTCCAATATGAATGTACCTCCCTACTCCTGGTGTAAGATTGTTTCTGGGGCATGGTGAGGTTCCTCAAAAGCTTCGCCTTTTTTTTTTTTAACAGAGAAAACCTGATAACTTGTACAAAGAATAAACTGTCTTTCTTCTGGTGGTTGAGTCAAAAGATGGAAAAAGCTCCCTTTTTCTCTATTTATTTTTTGCTTCTCAAATTGTAATCTGGTGGCCAACATGTATTAATCCCAGCAAGTGACATTCTGGATTGTGTATTTTCTTTGATTTAACCGTGTATTTTTTTAAAATTTGGTTTCTTACGTATGCTCCTTGCCATTCATTCATTTCTTATCCCAAATAAATATCTGAGTCCTACTTTTACCTGGCACCAGAAGGCCCTGAGGTTATCTTGGTGACTGAGGCAGATAGATTTTTTTCCCCACCAAGGCTCACCATCCAGGCAGGGAGACGAGGTCACTAGGAGGTTAGAACACAGTGTGGGCCAGTTTTAATGAGAGAAAACAGGGCATGTGTGATCTCAGAGAAGGGACATTAACTCAGATTTGAGATCAGAGAGGTCCTTTTGAAGGAGGTGACATGTAAACTGAGACCTAAAAAATAAGCATGTGTTAGAGCAGAGGGATCAGGAATGGGGGAGAATGTTTCAAGGAGAGGGAATGGAAGGCGTTGAGTGCCTGAGGTCACTGTAAAAAGAAAATTAAAACCTGGTTTTATTCTCACCCAGTCCCCAGAACCAGATTTCATGGAAAATCGTTGCAGTATTGTGCCTTCATTTTAGCTTTACCAACTCAAAACTGGAAGGACGGTACATGTCCTAGGCATGTTTAAGAATGCACGGCGAGTCCCTGGGCCCTGGAGGAATAAGGTGGACATTGTCTGAAGCTTGCCAAAAGGCTGTGTTCCTTAACTGCCCCTTAAACTTGTCATGGATGCCTATCTAAGCAAAGAATTACAGATGGGAAGTAATGTCAAATTCAGGTTTTCTCTGAAGAGGGCTGCTCTTGATACAGAGCAGTGGACCCTTTGGGCTGTGTCATGGAGAGCCAAATGTAGAATGTTATTTCCAGAAGCAGTAGCAGCAACTCTAATCTTGCACTGGGTGTCTTGGGTTCCTTTGGAATGTTCCAGAAGTCAGAACTGAGTTCTGAGTTTTTGAACATTGGTTACCCACATTTGACCACAGATAGCTGTGACCACCCACATGGGCAGTGGGTGGCCTGGATGTGGAATCTTGGGACATAAATGATTGATGAGCAATAGCAGTCAGCGCTGGTTCTGCCTCCTCGTGTGATAGATGTTTTGGAACAGAAGCACCAGCATCAACCAGGAACTTGTTATGCACAGTCTCTGTCCTACTCCAGACCTGCTGAATCAGCAATTCTGGCAGGGTTGAGGAGGGGGCCTAGCATTTTGTGTTTTAACAACCCTCAAGGTGATTGAAGTTTGAGAACCACTGGAGTACATAATACAAGCTACAGGTAATGAGAATGTCCTGTGATTCCTATTGATTGGCTGCCTGTGACTCCCACCCCTTCCACGCCATGTAAGAAGACCTCTTAGAATAGCCATGAGAGTGATGTTGTTATGGAGACAACCATGAACTTGTACCAGTTTATTAAAACATATGTACGATTGTTAACTTTGCTACATGTGACCAAAGTCACAATAGGGATACCACAATTAAATGCTCCAGTTCTAATACTATAGCTGGAGCAGTGGCTTTTTTTTTTTTTTTTCCTTTCCTGACTATACCCCATACTAACAAATCTGTTTAAATTGTGATCCGGGAGACACATACACATGTGTATAAGCATACCAACTGTTTCATGAAATAACACCCTTCCTATATTTTCTGTGCTGCTCTATTAAAAGTATGTTGGTTGCAATCCATAAAATTCATCTCCTGACTCACCAATGAAACGTGACCTGCAGACGTAGTGAGCTGTCTTTGCGTGGACCTTGTGTCTGGAGCAGGAGAGGGGTGGGACTGCCTTCACCTCTCCATCAGGTAGACTTGGTTTTCGGTCTCTGTTCTTCCACTTGCAGTTGTGTGACCTTGGGCAATTTGTTTATGTTCTCTGAGCTTTAATTTCCTTATTTGTCAATATGGAAAACATCTACCTCACAGAGTTAACATGAGTAAATGACCAGGCATTTCACACAGTGACCAGCAGTGGTAGCTACTACCTTACTTGTGGAGATGGTATTGTTAGCACGATTTTTCAGAACATCATCAGTTAAATACATTTCTCTGGGAACTACCCCAAAGCAGTCTTTCACAATTTTGTCCCAGACTACAATGAATAAGTGCCCCCCTGTAGTCTGTGTATTCAGAAATATTTTTGAAGTAATTTTACCTTAAACATGCATCCAAGTTCTGCCCTCTATTCCAAAAATATATTCAAGTTTATATATGTATTTTGGAATATTTTGTTTTGATAAAAGAATTGAGTCCCCTGGCTCAAATCCTTGAGGGCATTGAGATTGTAGATGTCCTGAGTGGCTACATGTACCACCAACGTAGCCCTGAGCACAAGTCTTTGGGAAGGGTAGACCTTACAATTTTGTTTGTTAGGACTGACTGTGCAAGAAAAGTCTATCTGTTGGTGATTGTGGGTAGCATCTTCATGTATGTAACTCTGTCATCAACGGGCATGGCAGATCATTCGTGAACCCTGGGCAGTTGGTATGTGGAAGTGCCAGGGATTGATCATTCATGAATCCACATGTTGTGGAGACCCAGCCAATGTCTGTTTGTCTTTCTGGAGGTCATGATTGTGGTTGGTGGCCAGGCACCCAAGGCGATCCGCAGTGTGGAATGCTACGATTTTGAAGAGGACCGGTGGGACCAGATAGCTGAGCTTCCCTCCAGGAGATGCAGAGCAGGTAAGCAGCCTGCCTTTCCCCAGTCTGTCTCTGCTTACTGCTGGCAATCCTGAATTGCTCCTTGTTTCCACAAACGTGTGCATTACAGACTCTCTTCCTTTCCATTCCCCACTTGCCCAATATCTGGCTACCCCTTCTGAGGTAGTTGCTATGTGCTTAGGGACTTGAAGCTAGTACCAGTATTCGCTTGAATCAAACACCCTTGGAAAAGCATATATGAATAGAAATCCAGTGAGTCCCTCAATGACTTCCTATTCTGTAAAGTTGGAGATCACTTTCTGTGGAGAATTATTCATGTGACTGCCTGGCCCCCGCACTATCACTCATCAGCACGAGTGATCAGCCGCCTGAGATGACCTCGATGCCTTGGTTTCCTGTGCCTCAGGTGTGGTGTTCATGGCTGGTCATGTGTATGCTGTGGGTGGATTTAACGGCTCACTGCGCGTGCGGACAGTGGATGTGTATGATGGTGTGAAGGACCAGTGGACGTCCATCGCCAGCATGCAGGAGCGCCGGAGCACTCTGGGTGCAGCCGTGCTCAATGACCTGCTCTACGCCGTGGGGGGCTTTGATGGAAGCACTGGTAGGTCTGGGATGTGGTCCCCACTCCTCCTAGACTGGGACATGCCCTCAGTGCAACCCTGGTTTGCTCAGCCAGTTCTTGGGTCAGCCTTCTGTCCATCCACAGCTACCTCAACAGCACACTCCTCCTTCTTCATCTCCTACCTTGTTTGCCAGAGCCAGGCCTTTCTACACATGGAATATGTAACTGCCCACATGGGTGGTATCATTTCCAGGATTCTAGGAAGGCTCCTGCACTCAAATGAGGCCTTTTTCTCCTTTCTGTTGTTTGGGAACCCATTTTTGTAAAAAGATGAGACGTAGAAAGAGAGCATGCTCAGCTGGAGGGCATCTCAGGACTGTCAGAGCCCTCTTCTGGATGGACACGGAAGCTGTGGAAGAGACCTGGCTCAGGCCACGCAGTCTTTATCCATTGTCCTTTCTACTGCCCCACGAAGCTTTGTCAGACTGTGCCACCACAGGTGCGTTCCATTGCTCCTGGCTTCTGTGTTGCTTCAGAGCTCAAATCAGAAACTACTAGTAGACATGAACTTGGAGAGATTATCTCACCTTTCCTGTACCTCCAGGTGGATGTCTCTATAGACAGTAACTCTGTTAACACTGAAATGCCCCCAGGGATGTGAAAAACAGTATTTTTTACTTCTCTGAATTTTCATTTGTGTCCTTACCAATTGGTAACCTTTCCAATTCTTCTCTTTGCCTCTCTCATAATATTTTAGGGTCTATAGCCCCTTGAGAGGCTGCCTCTAGTGGGTAGGATCTGAGAATAAAGACAAAAAAAGAGAGTGGGGCATTGTTTCTTCTAGAAATTGCTTTTGGTTGTGAGTAGAAAAACCTCACTAAACTGTGGCTTAAACAAATGAGAGATCTTGTTTTACCCATGAAGGAAGACGTCCCGGAGTTGGCAGTTGCTAACTTCATCTACTTGCTCAAGAATATTGGGGCCAAGGTTCTTTAAACATCTCTTGGCTGTACCCTCCTGATCATAAGATGGCTGTGACAGCTCCAGCCAGCACATTTGTGTTCCAGGTAGCATCAAGCAGGTTGGTGTAGAAAAACAAAGGCTATTTCAGAAATGCCCATCAGATTTCTTCTTAGGCCTTCTTGACTGAGTCACCCCTAATGGTTGTGGGACGCTAAGTTCTCAGCTTTCTAGCTTCTTAGATAGAGGAAGAAAAGAGAAAAGAACATGTTCAAGTGAGGCAACCTCAGGTTTTTTACTCCATTCAGTAGATGTAATGATTTACATTTGCAGGGCAGTTCTGTTGTATCCCCATGTCTGCTTGTGACCCACCGTGAGTCAGGCCTTTGTGGTCCTCTCAGGTAGACACACTGAGGACATGTATCAGTGAGGTGCCCCAGGCTGCATGGCAAGGTAGAGGTGGTACTCAGCCATATCCCCCGGTTTCAGACCCTTCCCCCAGCCTCACACCAGATGAGTCCTCACCTCTCCTCATGAGTTAAAATCTTACAAGTCTCTGGTCTCCCAGGCCTAGCATCGGTGGAAGCCTATAGCTACAAGACCAACGAGTGGTTCTTCGTGGCCCCAATGAACACACGGCGGAGCAGCGTGGGTGTGGGTGTCGTGGAGGGTAAGGAATACCAGTGGGCGGCGGCCCGTCCCTGCCCCAGCCCACAGGTCTTGTCCCAGCACCCTGGCTCTATTCCTCCCATCACTGCTCTGAGTCAGGTTCAGGGATCCTGATGGAACAGATGAAGAAAGTTAAGGCACAGATGGGTGCAGCTATTGGCTCATGCTAGCAGGTGGCCAGGTGTATTGGGGGGAGTAAGTGGAGCCTAAGGGGAGACACCAGCCTGTTGCTTTGGCTACTTATCAACAGTTGTGTTATAGGTTGAGGAATCTAGAGTCAACATAGAATGTAGGAGTATAATGTGGTGGGGTGAGGGTTCATTTTATTTAATTAGTTTGGTCCTCCTATTTATATGTTGAACATTAACACATTAACAGAGCCTCGAGTGAGGTGGGCATGTTTTCCCAGGTCTGATTACTGTCACTGCAGGACAGGTTGGTGGCAGAGTCCTGCTCAAGTCAGGAAAGGTGTGTGGGGTGAAGCAGGTGAGAGTAGTGAGATCCGGGGCCCAGTTAGGGCTCTGTAGTTTATAAATGGCTCTTTTATATATAAATTTTGTTCCCAAAATCCTTTTGGAGGAGATAGACAGGGCTTAGATTTTCTCCATTCTC